GCAAAGCAACTGCTTACATACATTCCTGAAAGCCAGGGCCACTCCAACGTGATTGGTGATTGGCTGTCTAAACTTCCAAGCTGCGAATCACGACTCAGAGTTCAAGGGCCAATGGCAGAGGTCCAAATCCTGAAATGTTCTGTGATTGGACATCATGTATTGAATCAGAACACAGGAGCTCAGAATCCTTTGTCCACACTCAAGCTCAGGCGAACACAGACCACTGAATACAAAACAGTACTCATGCAATGGGATGCGGGTGGCACTGTGAGTTAAACCACAGTGCCAATCAGAAGGTCGGCGGTTCAAATCCCCACGACAGGGTGAGCTCCCATTGCTTGGTCCCTGCTCCTGCCAACCTAGCAGTTCAAAAGCACCTCAAAGTGCAAGTAGAGAAATAGGTACCGCTCTGGCGGGAAAGTAAACGCCGTTTCCGTGCACTGCTCTGGTTCGCCAGAAGCAGCTTAGTCATGCTGGCCACATGACCCGGAAGCTGTAATCCGGCTTCCTCGGCCAATAAAGCGAGATGAGCGCCGCAACCCCAGAGTCGTCTGCGACTGGACCTAATGATCAGGGGTCCCTGTACCTTTACTCATGCAACAGGTCTTTCCTGGCTCCTCTCACACGAGTCACCTGCATCCCAGTCAAAGCCACTCCTCAGGGTAAAGGACCCTCTGAAACTGTGTGGATGGGGCACGAGGGACTGTAGTGAGACAGGAAACTGGGAGAATTTGGTGGGACTGCCTTGCATAAGTGCATCCCTTTGTGGAAGGCATCTCTGGATCCAAGCCATACAGTCAGATCCTAGGCAATGCTACACAAAATAGATAAGGTGCTAAGCTCCCAGCTCCAAGGCAAGGAAATGCTATTTAAACTTTAACCTAATGTGGTTTCTAAGAGTCAGAAGCCACATTATGTTAAAGAGAATGGTGGGGTTGACAGCAGTATTTTACACCACATTGTAAGGGTTGGTAGAGTAATCACATCCCTCTAACACTATTACAGTGATGAGGTGCTGATGGTGAGGAAATATCAGATACACAGTGCTAGAAAGCTGTCTGTGGACAAATGCAGGCTTTCTTGGTCTGAAAAGCAAGATAAGCGCTGCAACCCATAGTTGACTTTGACTGGACTTAACTGTCCAGGGGTCCTTTACCTTTTTATATTGCAAGAATTCAACAGCCTTCATCTTGCCCACTTAAACCCGAGGAAAAGTAGAATAAATTGTAATGGACTCACATTGCTTACGTGGCTGGCAACAATATGTAATCTTTCCCTTCATCACTATCTGTTTCCTGGTAGTGTGTAAGTCCACCTCTTCTTGTTACCTACCCACCCCTCCACCAATATTTATTCTACAATTACTTATTATATAAGCCCCCAAATCTGCCCATTTGTTGCATGCACTCTGCTTTGCGCATGCAGTGTTGGGGAGGTAAATTTTCCTTCCTGCCACAGAACATCAGCAGAAACAATGGCAACAGAAACTTTTATGTGGAACATGATGGAGGGATGAGTTCTCCCAATAATGTAGATACAAGCTTTTCTATATGGAAAGAGGGTGGTATTTCTCCAAAACAGAAAGAAATTATTATTATTAATGAAACACATACTGTGTATTCTTTAAATTTATATTCCATGCAGTATACTTCTGAAACAGAAAATTCTCTTTTACTAAAGCAGTAACAGAACTTGATGGGGAAGGGGGTGGGCAGGTGAGCAGCAGCAGCAACAGCAGAAAGTTGTTCCATTGAAAGAGGACTAAATAGTGAATAACTGGCACTGAATAGAGTTAGCACTAGAATAGTGTTCACATAAAACTCTTTGTTGTATATAATAATACCTGGTTAATTTTTCCTAGTCATTTGATGGCACTTGACACAATAGGAAATTAGATTCTTCTGGATTAGCAGTAAGAATTGGCAACACTAGTTTGCAGTAGTTCTCCTGACAGGTTTGGGAAGGTGATGTTCATGGGACTATTGCCCCATTCTACCCCATGGGAATTCTCCTGTGGAGTGCCACTAGGGAGAATGTAGGTGTCACTCAATAAATCATCCAGAGCTTTGGGGTGAAGTGTGATGATTAATAGCCAGCTCTATCTTTCAATGTAAAGAAGTGTAAAGTGATGCATGTTGCCAAGTCAGCCAGGCACTCCATGACAGGAGAAAGAGGAGAGAGACTGAGGAGCATTTGTGGGGTCATCAACCTTGATAGACATTAAGAGGGCAGCTTGCAGCATTGGAAACTTTAACAATAGATTTAGGAGCTGAGGATTTAGCCCGCATCCTACATTGACATTGACACTTAGACAGTGCTTTTTCTATTAAAAAAAGTTTGGGGTAATCTCATTTTGACTCAAGAAAATCACCATTTTATAGTTCAAATCGGGGGAAATAAATACAGTCAATGGAGAAAAGTACAAAGATTCACAAAATGTTTAGGGGTATATGTACCCCTGTGTTCCCCCAGAACAAAGCACTGCACTTATCAACACGAATGGGTCTGAGCTAGCAGTGACTGAATGAGGACTTTGGGTCTTATATTCTTACCTTTAATAGTTGTGTAAAAGAGGGCATTTCAGCAAGGACAGTTTGGAAGATGGTTCAGAGGGGAGAGGAAATCATTCTCTTCTCTTCTTCCAGCAGGAGCCTCTGCTGGTTCTCTCCTTTCTGCAAACAGAGAATAGCCATTATGGCTAGTAACCACAGATAGCCCTCTCCTCTATGAATTTGTCTAATCCTCTACTATACAGCCCTCTACTAAGCCCTCTACTATACAGCTGAGGCAGTGGAAGACAGGAGTGCCTGGCGTGCTCTGGTCCAGACACGACTGAACAACTAAACAACAACTATACAGCTGCAAATAAAATGTTTAAAGTGTGTTTTAAGTGCAATATGACACTAGGTGGGCCTTATGGAAAATTCAATGTATTTTTAAAAACACTTTTTAAAAAAGCATTTTCAGAACGTTTTTTATACGTGTGTAGAGTCCACCTAGGTTGGTGGATATCACTGCCTCCTGAGCAAATTCCATAGTTTAACAATTTGCTGTGTGAGAAGTACTTTCTTATATCTGTCCTATATCCTCCAACATCTTAATTGGATGTCCCCAAGTTCTAGTTCTTTTTGGGACGCGGGTGGCGCTGTGGGTAAAAGCCTCAGCGCTGTGGGCTTGCCGATCGAAAGGTCGGCGGTTCGAATCCCCGTGGCGGGGTGCACTCCCGCTGCTCAGTCCCAGCGCCTGCCAACCTAGCAGTTCGAAAGCACCCCCGGGTGCAAGTAGGGACCGCTTACCAGCGGGAAGGTAAACGGCGTTCCGTGTGCTGCACTGGCTTGCCAGATGCAGCTTTGTCACGCTGGCCACGTGACCCGGAAGTGTCTCCGGACAGCGCTGGCCCCGGGCCTCTTGAGTGAGATGGGCGCCCAACCCCGAGTCTGTCAAGACTGGCCCGTACGGGCAGGGGTACCTTTACCTTTACCTTTAAGTTCTAGTCTTATGAGACGATAAAAACTTTTCTCTATTCTCTATCCACTTTTTCCATGACATGCATACTTTTATACACATTATCATGTCACTTTCCCCCCCCCCCTTTTTTTTTTGCTTCTTCTCTGAACTAAAAAGCCTCAAATGCTGTGACCTATAAGGGAGTAACCATTTCATCTGGCTCCAGTGTGCTTTCTTTTCAATCTGTGTACACATGACATTACACACAATGCAGACTTTTCTGTAGTTTCTTGAGAAATACTGCTGTTAAACCAGCTTCAATCCGAAAGGAAAGCATTCACGTTGTAGTTGAGGTGTGCACAAGACACCAATAGTGCATGTGCAGATGACAACGCATGTGCAGATGACAGCTTCACAAATAAGGTTGGAAGGGATTGCATGGGCAGGAAATCCATAGACCAGGGGTGCCCAAACTTTTTTTCAAAGTGGGCCAGATTTGCTGAAGTGAACATGTGTGACGTGAGGGCTGACCAAAGTTGTCGAGCTTTTTTTTAGGATTGTCGAGCTTTTTTTACAATTTTACCCCAAAGTTGCTGAGCTTTTTAAAGGGTTTTACCCTAGGACATATACTGCCACGGGAGCCGGGTTAGACTCCGAAACGGACTTTGGACATGCCTGCCACAGACTGTGAACATTGGGTGACTACATCGCCTAAAACCAATCTCTAGTTCAGGAACGTGCAGATGGGACTTGAAACACAGCTTGGGAAGAAAGACATCACTGCCGCTAATTTTAAGCCGCTAATGTGTACATAGCCTTAATAACAAGCCCCGGGAAGTCATCAATTTCCACATATTTTTCCATAGACGGCAATGAAAGAGATCTCCCTCATCTGATTTCTGCCTAGCGCACTCTAAACAGTTTTTTAAACGGGGCTTCTTCCCGAGTCAAGGTGCATATGGTTGAAACCCCTATCATATAATCCTTACTGGAGCTTAATGGCGTTGCAAGGCCGGAGGAAAAGCCCTAATACAATCCCACTTTTCTTTTTTTCTTTTTTAAACATCTCCCGGCATACAGTGAGGCACAGACGTCATTTAGACGTCTTGCGTGATATAACGATATTTAATCTCTCTGGAACTGCAGCCTGGGAAATGTAGTTCGTTTCCAAAGCTGGCTTTCGGTGCCCCATTTCTTTCCCGTTTTCTCCCTGCCTGATCTTTTGCCCGCAATTCCCCGGTTTTTAGTTACGCTGAAATAGAAATAGGAACGGAGACGCGCAGCGTCCCCCCCTCTTCCCGCCTTGCTCTGTTGCTAGGCAGCAGACGGGGAAAGAAAGGGCGGAGACTCGGAGGAGCGGCCATTGCAATGACGTAAGCGACGCGTCTAGTTTTAAAAATAAACGGCGCCTTAAGGTGTAACGTTACTGGGCCGGATATGACCGTTACAGCCCCCCCCCCCGAGCGAAAGAGGGAGGGGCGGAAGTGGGAGCGAATCGAAAAGCGGAAATGAGGACTCAACTCTTCCCTCCTCCCGCCCAGAAAAAGAACGGGGGCGGAGTCACGTGGTCAGAGTCGCAGCTCAGGGAGGCGGAGTCACGTGATCCGGGGACCGGGGTGGGGTCGCCATGGGCACCGCGCTGGATATCAAGATCAAGCGGGCGAACAAGCTGTACCATTGTGGGGTGAGTAGCCTTTGGCAGCGGCGTTGGAGCGGAAGGAGACGGCAGGGTCTGCGTTGCTCGTTCTCCGCCCCCATTAATAGGTTTTTTTTCCTGGGGGAGAGGAAGGCTGCAATTCTGTGCCCCTTTCCTTGCGGGTAACTCCCATTGGACTTGAATGGGCTTCCTCTGAGGGATCCCGCTGCACGCCGGGCTTCCCTCAACCGGGCTTGTTTCCGCCCTTAGCCTTCGTAGGATTGCAAGGGTGCCAGCTGGGATGAGTATTCGGCGAGCCTGGCTTCGTTCCCCAGGCAGCAGAAGAAGGGGGCCAGCCATTCTCGCCCTCGCTGCTCCAATTGAGGGCATAATAATAATAATAATAATAATAATAATAATAATAATAATAATAAATTTATCTCCCGCCCATCTGGCTGGGTTTCCCCAGCACTCTGGGCGGCTTCCAACAAAGATTAAAAATACATTAAAACCCCAGTCATTAAAAACTTCCCAAAACAGGGCTGCCTTCAGATGTCTTCTAAATGTCAGATATTTATCTCTTTGACATCTGATGGGAGGGCGTTCCACAGGGCGGGAGCCGCTACCGAGAAAGCCCTCTACCTGGTTCCCACAAGTGGTGGAGAGGAAAGGAGGGTCCTCTCCGCACCAGCAGAGGAGAGAACATGGAGCCCTGAAGTTGCGCTGCTGAACTCCCAACAGCCCCAGATGGCAGGCCAGGGCTCAGGAGTTATCTACAGGGAATAAAGATCCTGTGGCAGCTGCTTAGTGTACTGTAGGCAGTGCTCACTGGGCATAAGACAATATCCCTGTATAGAATACTAACCTGTTGAGAAGATAGCATGTCTGTTGTCCTGTCCCCAACCTCCGACTCCTGTGTATTATTATTATTATTATTATTATTATAGCTATAGTGTTGGTAGGGGTGTTTATTTTTTCATGTGACCCAAACCTACAGTTTGAATATAACCATCTGGGCATGGTTTTACTGGCTCATCCGCTGATAAACTGCAATCTATAAAAAGTTTTCCTTTGCTATGGGTGTAGTTATTGGATAGGACCTATTCAACCTAGAGTGTCCCAAATAAAAAATTGAATTGATTATAAGAAATGGGTTGCTGTACTGTACATGCAACAAAACAGAGGACAAGTCTGCATGGCTGAACAGAGACAATTGCGTATTATAAGAGCATTTGAACTAGTGGTGCAGTTGGTGAAAACAAGTGAAAGAGCAGGCTTTTTCAATAGTTTTACATTTTCTCTATCCCTATCTGTTAGGGAAACAAACCGTTAATCATCATAATGGAGTGATAGCAGTGTGCTTAGAGTGGCAAGGTATGTGCGGAAATTCAAGAGGTTGAGACTTGTTTGGTCCAAAAGTGGAATTGGAGAGACTTAAGTACATGGGATCCAATTATTATTATAATTAAATTAATAGAGTCCAAAGATTGTGCTTCAGAGCATGGTTTATCTCCTCCAGGATTTTGTTTCTGACAGAGGCCTCTGGAAATGTATTCGGTGCATAAAGGGCCTTCTCTTCTTCTTTGGTTTCTGATATTCAGAAGTTTAGTGCCTGTGCTCAGAAAGTCCCCATTTAGCTGTTGCAACTTGCACTTACTCAAGCCCTGTGAAGTTTCTGTGCCCAGAGCTCAGAAACTGCTCACAGTAATGAAATTCCCCATCACAAAATGCGCCTAGAACAAGGGGAGTCTCAAACACTGTGCTTAAGATTTCAGATTAAAACTGCAGAGTGGAAGGAAAGGAGGACCTTTTTCTGCCTCCCCACTTTCAGCTACTCTCTGAAGACTGGAGAAGTGACCCTCTAAAGAATATCAGGGGTGTGGGCAGGGGAAGGACTAGACCATGTGAAAAATGAACATAATATTTTAGCTACAGTTCATTCATTTTCAGCTTTGAATTCTTGTTATAAAGTAGCACACCTGGACATTCCGTTGTTGTGCCCATAACCTAGGTTTAAGGTGCCTTTTAGCTCCTAGCTTTCATATCGGTTTCTAACACTGCACACACAGTCAGTAAGTGATCCTGAGGAGAGGATGAGACGCAACACACTTCCTAGAGAAGTTCTGTTTTAGAGCTGCTTTTAGATGAGCGATTTGGAAACAGAATGTAAAAAATAACTGTTTTGTTTACTCGGTGCCATTGTCAAAATGCTTTATAATTTTTTTTACTGGGAGTCCCTAAGCTCAGCTAAAGATGTTACAAACTCATCTCTTTAATTATGAATCACAATCTCACTAATACATGGGCTTGCCTTCCTTAGGAAGTCATCTGCCACTACTGTGACACAAACCAGAGCTAGTCATGTTTCATTTATAACCTCTTTCATTTTGGAGAATTCCACAGCGTGTTGCATCAAAGTGGCACACAGTAAAGCTCCTGAATGGAGTGGAGCTGCATTTGTCAATGACTCTGTTAACGGTATAGCAGTGATGTGAGTTTTCGATTTCATATGCTCATTAGTAACAACGAATGGGTATCAACTGCAGACCCCGCATTAGGCAAACTCGACAGTTTCAAAGTTTTTGGTTCTGTTTACTAAATACAAGTACATTAAATAAGCTAAGTTAGATCACTCTAGAGCAGGGGTTGTCAACCTGGTTCTGCAGCACAAGCTGAATCCTCCTTCCATCGAGCACTGGTGGGCGGTAAGGAAATTTTTCCATCAAGAAAGATGCATTAGTGGGCAGTAGGTATAAAAAGGTTGACTACCCCTGCTCTAGAGCAGTGTTTCCCAACCTTTTTTGGGCAAAGGCACACTTGTTTGATGAAAAAAATCTCGAGGCACACCACCATTACAGCCCCGTGACGTCAGCGCGCAGCGTCACGCCGGGAGGGACGCACGAAAGTGTAACTTTCAATTTTTTTCCCTCCTCCTTGCCGGGGAACCTCCAAGCTTTGGGGGTGGGGGGGGAGGAGGCAGCAAAGCGAGGGACTGAGGGACTCCTCCAACGACAAGGGTTGGGGAAGAAGAGAAAGGGCTATTCCGCTCCAGTCACGGGAGGGGAATATGTACTGGCCCAACTGGTGTGCGGTCTTCGGAAAGCGGGGTGCGGGAAGGAAGCCTAGGCTCGGGGTCCACCGACCTCGGCGGAGAAAGGCAACAACCGGAGCCGATGACGAGCCGGCGCGTGCGTGCAGCGGCTGGCCTCGAGCTCGGGAAGCTGCGCGCGGCGATGTTGACGCGGGGCGCGCGAGAGCTTGGGGGCGGGGCGGGAGAGAGAGAGAAAGAGTTGGCAGCACCAGGCGCTGTTACTTATTGCGCTGCGGACGCTGCCAGCAACTGCGGTGGTTGTGCGGCGGCCGCCGCCGCAGAACGTCCTCGTCAGTCAGCTGAGCTGCCTGGCGGCGTAGGGAGCCGAGGGGCGGGGCTTCCTTTCTGAAGGAGCTGAGGGTGGGGGTCCTCCGGCGCCTTCGGCGAAACGGCGCCGGCCCAGAGCGCTTCTAGGAGGCTGCCTTTGTGCGCGACGTAAAGCCCTCTTTCCCTCCCTCCAGCCCCGTGTCACATGTGGAAAAGGGGGCTGGATCCAGTGACGCAACTCGGAAAACTGTTAGGGAAGCCAGAGCAGGAAAGTGAGTGGGAGGCGGCGGCGGCGCTTTAACCCACGTTTCCTTTTTGAAAGAGAAACCAGTGTTTCCCAACCTTTTTTGGACTCGCTCGCGGCACACCAGGCAACATCTCGCGGCACACTAGTGTGCCGCGGAACACCGGTTGGGAAACACTGCTCTAGAGCATCAGAAAACTTTCCAGTGCAAATTGCTCCAAGCTGCAGAAGAAAAATTTCTAGAAAAACTTCCAGTTAATTTTTCTTCTTCTTGAAAATCCAAATCACTGCTATTTAGCAGTGTCACATAATAGTTGGAGCTAGGACAGAAGAGTTCCAGACAAATTATGTACTCTTCTCCCATGTCATCCTCCCCACCCCTGGTGAATCATGCTTTTTGATAATGACAGCACATTGCCACGGAAATATATATATATAAATAACATGAGCAGTGGATTGGTGGTTCTTGATTTTTCTCTCTCCTCCCCATTTCCACCCACTTAGGAAGTTCTCACTGGAGTGGTGGTCATAACAAGTAAGGATGCAGTCCAGCACCAGGGTATCTCCTTAACAATGGAAGGATCTGTCAACCTGCAACTGAGTGCCAAAAGTGTTGGTGTGTTTGAAGCCTTCTGCAATTCTGTTAAGGTACAAATATGGTTATGGAAAGTTTTCCTAAAACTCTTCTTTATTTATGTGAAGCTGGCGTATCAAAGGTCATGGTTGGATAATCAACAAAATATGGAGTGTTAAAATACCCCAAAACTTAGCTTGGCTTTCATAGAGTCACCATATGTGCAGAGAGATAAGCAACTTCTTCAGTTTCTAATAGTGAATTTTGAGCTTAGAGCTCTCTGCAAAGAAAGCTTACATTGAATAAGCAATATCATTGTTCTATCTATATGCCTGCAGTAGCCATGCATTTTGAGGTATCCTGAGGGGCTGACCCCTGCATTGGAACTGGTGAAGGGCTAAACTACACAGTGATATATGGCTTTTTATCTTTCCTTTTTCTGTAAATAAGATTTTTTTTATATACATTTTGAAAATAAACAGTTAAATAATAAAACTGATGATGGGCCACTTAAATTCTTAACCACACTTTCCATGTTTCTTTCCTCCCCCTTTTGCAGCCTATTCAGCTTATTAACAGTACTGTAGAAATGGTAAAACCTGGAAAACTGCCCAGTGGTAAAACAGAAATTCCTTTTGAGTTTCCACTGCAAGTGAAGGGGAACAAAGTTCTCTATGAAACCTACCATGGAGTTTTTGTCAACATCCAGGTAAGAGAGGCTTTCGGTTTGGCAGACATAAGCTACTTGTGGGGAATGTGCAACCATAGCTATTAATATTTGTTATTTGCATTTGTATTTTTCTGCTAAGCCAGTTTAAAATACTGAAACACACAATAATTATGATACATATGGTAAAAAGAAGAGTTGTCTTAATTTTGGCTCCTTGGGAACAGATGGCATGAGCTCCTTGGCCAAAGTTTATCCTCTGCTACATATTGCAAAGCAGACTCCATAAATCTAATTTGTTTTCCTGATAGTTTAATCTGCTTCTTTTCAGAAATGCCTGTAATAGAGAGAGCACAATAAAGAGTACCTAGTACAAGATTGTTAGAGTGCTCTTCTGTAGATTCACCTTTTCATTTCCACTTAAATCACATGGGTGATAGTTCTATACATCTGCACGGTGTTTCCAAACTTCTCTCTTTGTGCCAGCTGTCTTTCTTATTTAATGAATTTCCTCTTACCTAGTTTTGGCTCAGGCTTCTTCCAGATAGAACATCTGCTGTGAGCAACAGCATGACAGAAGCTGTGCCAATGCATATGCTGAGTTACTTCATACCAAGTTTTAACTGAGAACTGATACGTTCACTGATGCTTAAGCCATTTTTATTAAACTGGAGCAAAGGGAGCAGTTTCACTGAGGTCAGCGGGAGCTTCGATGGAGGCCTCTGTAGGGCTACTCACTCTTTTTCCCTTGTGTAGGGGGGCCAATAAGATATCTAGCTTGTGAAAAGTTTTTTGTTCCTCACTCTTGCAGAACATTTTGTTATTTTGGATAAACTGGCTTTATCATTACTGCATAGGCATATGAGTTCATGTAGCTTGGTTCAATGATATAAGAAAATATAGTTTAACAGTTGTTAAGATAGTTATTATTTTTAAAAAATTAGTCTGTCACTTGTAAAAAAGAAAAACGACATTTAGGTGTGTTTCCAGTTGATCTTTAATTTAAACCTCCCCCCACACAAATACATTAAATGCTTAAAAAGCACAAAGTTAAGCACTTAATAAGTCGTACTTTATGAGTTTAACTCTCCCATTAAAATTAATGAGATATATATAGGTGTTTAAATTTGGAACACTTTCCCTGTTATAGTTGTTACAAATGAAGCAAAATAAACAGCAAGGGCCCTGTGATAAAAAATTTACCATTGGTAATCAAGAGTGCTCTCTGCAGAAATGCTTTCCCTCAAACTACAAGCAGTTCAGATATTTTTTCTTAGAACTTGCCCTATTCCTTTACTGTAGGGTTTTGAGGATGTAAATGAACTTGCTCACCATGGAATTCTTTTTGAGATGAACCATAGAGTCACAGAATTGTAGAGTTGGTAGGGACCACAACTAGAGCTGCATTGTAGTACAGTGGAACCTCGGTTTTTGAGCGTCTCAGAAGCCAAATGTTTCAGTTTTCAAACGCCAAAAACCCGGAAGTAATTGCTTCCATTTCCGAACGTGCCTCGGAAGTCAAACAGCTTCCGCTGCGTGTTTTTCCACTTTTCCAATTGAACTTGCAGCCACGGTTTTCCAACGTTTTGGAAGTTGAACAGTCTTCCGGAACAGATTACGTTTGAGAACCGAGGTACCACTGTAAGTGGGTATTGCAGCACTTCCTGTGACAAGATAATTTTGCAGAAGATATAAACTGTTTTCAACACAGGTTGTGCATAAAAGTCTAATGGTGAGTTGGAACAAATGTGAAGTCCATTTTTCAGATATTGGGGGGTTGGTTGTTTAAAAGAGGTATTAATTTGTTTTATTTAAACCTAGATTAATCATCAGAAAGACATGGCTCTCAAATTACTAATCAACAAAACAACTCGTTAGTAGGTTGCATTCTTTTTCCAGTTCCAAGATGGAATAAATGACTGCTTTTCCTTTGCATAGTATACCCTTCGATGTGACATGCGGCGCTCTCTCCTGGCTAAGGATTTGACTAAGACTTGTGAATTTATTGTCCATTCGCCAGTAAGTACTTGCCCAAAACATGCACTGGTGATTTATAGCAGGGAGAATGTGGACCTGAAGTTGGGGGAAATGACAGAAGGCGTCGTGCGAATTCTGATTCCGAAAAGGCAGGGGTTTTGGTCTGTTACAGAACAGTTAGATCATGACGTGGTTTACACATCAGTGAGCCAAACTATGGCTTATTGGGGTCACATGACCATCCTGTCTCCTGGAGAGGAACTTGCACCTGCGTTGCTCTTCCTGATATTTATAGTGCAGTCTGAATGTTGTCCAAACCTAGGATCATGGTTCAGGTTTTTTCTCCTTAGCCATAACCAGTAGCAAAGGTTTGGCTTACCATGTGCACACCATGTCATTATTGTTTATGTTCCACTCTCCTTTTAATTCTGTACTGAAATGGCATCTTGTTGCTATGCCTGAGGGCAACACTATCTTAGACTGCCCCGTTACTATAATGAGACTTTTCTTCATAGCCACTAGAGATTATGGGAAGGAGACGTATTCCCTCTAGGCTGATGAGAGCATGTATCAAAGGACTGCCCCACAGATGGCTAGTTGGGATTGCTGGCACATCTTCCACCAAGCAAGAACGACCTTTCCTATAGTCATCCATTCTTGTTCTTGTAATACGTGACTTGAAAATACCTTGGTTCTCAAACAGCTTAGTTGTCAAACATATTGGCTTCCAAATACCGCAAACCTGGAAGTAAGTGTTCCGGGTTTGCGATTGTTTTTCAGAAGCCGAAAGTCCAACGCTGCTTCTGCTTGAGTACAGGAAGCTCCTGCAGCCAATTGGAAGCTGTGCCTTGGTTTTCGAATGGTTTCGGGAATCGAAAGGTCTCCCGGAATGGGTTAAGTTTGAGAACTGAGGTACCACTGTAAATATAACGCCTCAGGCGTCATAAATTGACAAATAGTAGACTTACCACTTTGACCCTTCTTTTCATTCTGTTGCAGCCTCAGAAAGGTAAACCAACCCCAAGCCCAGTGGACTTTACTATTACTCCTGAAACTCTACAGAACGTGAAAGAGGTAAGACCCATATTCCTGTAAGGGATATAGTACTAGTGTGCTTACTGAAAATTTGGTTGTTTAGATGCTGTGCCAAACCGTGCATAGGAGCCCTGTTTTTGTGTGTTCCTGTCCACCCCCCACCCCCATATGTACACTCTGGTTTCTTCCTTCTCACTTCCAATCTAGTGGCAATCCATAGCTGGCCATCACACCTGGCTTGGGTAAACCATTGCACAACAGGCTGTGCAAACCAGCATTGCAATCCCAGTTCTTATTGTGGTTTATCATCTAATGGCCATTTGCCCAGTTGAGATGTAACGGCCTGTGGAGAAATCACCATTTAAAATGTGTTTTTCCTAGAACAGGGTTTGGTTTATTATTGTTAGATGCAGTGTATTTGTATGTGGGGTTATGAATGAGAGCATAAGCTTGCTGGCTACATAATCCAGTTCCTGTCTTTCACAACAAAGCAAATTTGATCGGTCAAGGCTTTTAGAATGTGCACTGGTTCTGTGATTTTCCCTAAAATACCTTTCTTTCCGCACAACTACTCCAGTCCAATCTTCTGCCATCACGCTTTCCCCCTTTTTAGATAAGAGCTTAAACTACAGCATATAAAGGGTTTTCAGTTTAGATGGTAACAATCTCATAGAGCAGTTATTAACGGCAGTCCTTTTATCGAGGGTCCTTTTAATTTCTTGGTTGCTTGTATTTATTTTTATTTATTAGATTTGAATTCTGCCCTTCATCAAAAGAGATCAGGGTAGTTCACAAGATAAAAAAGGCAATATAAAAGCACAAATAGTTAAAACAGAGGCAACAAAACAATAATTGTATGGAATGAAACACTAGCTTTAATAAACTTAAGTTTCAATGGAAACAGAATTTTTTTTCTTTCAGTATTGTCTGTGTTTGATGGACACTGGTCACAGTAAAAAGCAGAATTGTGTGGTGTGATTTAGGATTTTAATCCTTGTTTTGCTAAATTAGGAGACTTCTAGTATGAACTTGGATTAAAAGGCAATCATACAGATTTGGCTGGGCAAGTCTACCTTCCTTTGTAACAGACTTAGACCTAGAGAATATTTCCAGGTTATTTCTTATTTGTAATGTACCTAAAGTGTTGTACAGAGTTTTTGGAAACCGACACAGATCCTGCTTGCAGGCTTAGTTTAATACAAAGGGGAAATCGCAGAACAGAATGGGGGAAATGGCAATTCTTGATTAGATTACCTACCTTCTCCTTTAACTTCACTTTGCATTTAGAGGGCATTGCTCCCAAAGTTTCTCATAAGAGGCCATCTCAACTCTACAAACTGCATCATAACACAACCCCTCACAGGGGAGCTTGTGGTGGTCAACTCAGATGCTGCGGTTAAAAGTATTGAACTCCAGTTGGTACGAGTGGAAACCTGTGGTACGTCTTTATACGTCTGTCTATAAATGTTCCAGAGAGTTTGGTTTTACATTTTAAAAGCACAGCAGTGTTTTCAACTTAGCCATTAAATTGAAATGGCCCTAGAATATAACTGAAAGCTTTGCCAGTAAGCAAGATGAAATACCAGCCATAGTAAAGGTCACACCACATGTTGGAAAATTCCCAAAGTATTTGTAGTGCACATCTGTCGGTCATAACATGGGTGTGCATACAACAATTTACATGTGTATTCAAATCTCTGAATTTGTAGGACATTGGTTCTTAATTGGAAGCCCCCCATCCCTGGCCAACTGTAGGAATGTTCTAGTACTTGAAGCAGCAAGCATGGTAATATGTTATTTAGCAAAGTTTGGTTTCCTTTTAATGCCACTTTTGTCCCACTTTTGCAAAGGCTGTGCTGAAGGTTATGCTAGAGATGCCACTGAGATTCAGAATATTCAGATTGCTGACGGAGATGTCTGCAGAAATCTTCCTATTCCAATCTACATGGTATTCCCCAGACTCTTCACCTGCCCCACCTTGGAAACCACAAACTTCAAAGTTGGTAAGGAATAGATAGTTTGACTTATTCCTATTTATTGGTTGCATTATATAGATACAGGTCTATCAGCAACTTACAAAAATTAATTTTAGAAGCAAGTAGTCCCAATGGTTTTTGTGTAGGTCCATTCTGAGTGACTAAGGTTGGATATCACCATAAAAAATTACCTGAAATTGACACATATTATATTGGTAATTATCAGCTTATTTTCTGAGGTCAAGAATCTAGCAAGGCAACTTGCCACTAGCATATTTCTTCCCTAGTTAAGTTGAAGCAATAGTTTGACTTGATTTTTCAGTGCTGGCTGTCTGGAACTCCCTGGAAAATGTTGTTTTGATTAAGATAGACATACGCATAGAGAGACATACGCAGCACCTAGAAATGCTTGAATATTTTTATGCTGCCTTTCAAGGAACCCAGTTGGAGCTGAATTTTTGAGGTATTACTTGGCACCCAAGGATGTACTGATCTACTTGTCTCTAATGAGATGCTAATCCAGTCTCTACCTAATCATTATTTCAAACCATTTTGCAAGCTACAAATGTACTACTAAGATTACAGGAGCCTGGGTGACAATGCTAATTCTAAGACTGTGTCGTTTGTTCCTCTAGAATTTGAAGTTAATGTCGTTGTCCTCTTGCATGACGATCACCTCATCACGGAGAACTTTCCACTGAAGCTCTGCAGGCTCTGATTAATTAGAACAGTTTCAGGAATACCATTGGGACCCCAGAAGCCTCCTATCAGTTGGGAATCCTGTGCGTTGGCACTGCGAGAACCAAGCAATGTGATTGCTGCTGTGTATTCTCAAATCCTATGGCAATAGAAGAATGACATTTAGGTGTTCTGATGAGCCGGAATTGTACACTTGCAGCTATAAAAGTGCTCTCTCCAGGTCGTTGCCAAACATGGACCAGCTGAGTTTTGCCCTGTTTCTGCTGTGGAGTCAGATGTTGAAGAGTTGCCTAGGCTTATGGTGAAACTGTATCACATACAAGACCACTCTCTAGCTGAACTTAGCCCTTCATCTGCTTGATCCTTCTTGGTATTGGTTCTGCTAGCAAGAGATCATAACACGAAGGAGTTTTGTTTGCCAATATGTCATTCCAGTTGAAGCCATTTCCTGTCCATGTCAGAGTATGCTCACTGTGCTTACATATAGTAATACTATACACATTTTGAAGAAAATCTACTGAAATCTGAGTAAAAGCAGTGTGGTAGGAATTACATTTACCTAAGCAGTGGACTTGAAGTTTTTCAAAAACTACTATATAGAAATTCCTGTTTTCACCATCGGCATTATAAATAAAAACTTTGAGTGAATGCTCATGGCCATCAACTGCCTGTGAGGGATATTTTGGCTTGGGTGCAATGGTTTAACATAAATAGCATCAGTATTGGAGCACTAACTATAACACTGGGCAACATTTTTTTTACTTTCTGAATGTTGTCCAGATTTCTACAACTGCTTTAGGGTATTTTTGCACTGCTGAATCAGGAAATTGCATCCGTTTCTCTCCATCAGGTCAGGTTTTTGCGCTATGTTGATTTGAAAAAAGTCAGATCTTGTGACAAAATCGATTACATTTTTGTGGCATTATCAGCTGATTTTTGTCATTATGATTAGCTCTCGTTTGCCTGCAAGCAGAATGGAATTACACTGCCATCTTCAGACGAGTTTGCCTTTAGAATGAGACGAAATCCACTTGAGTTGAACTAAGGGGAAATTGGGACATAGAAGAGGAGATGGTAGAATAAATACCATGCTACCTATCCTTGAGAGGTGTCAGCCTACAAGCTTACTAAAGGAATGGAGCCACCTGGTGATGTGCATTTTTGCCTAGAGCTGATCCCATGTCTTTGCTGCATTGCCTTACCAGGTTCTAAATGTTGTACACCAACCAAATACAGCCCATTCCTGAGTTGTATCTACTTGCATAAAGTAATGGAATCTGTAGTTCATTATCCAAAAGTGCCTGTTTGATTTCTTCCTCCAAATAGGTCTGTTGCTAAAATGGTCCTCACACATATGCAATGTATGTTAGAAAGCAAACTAAAATTCTGTGGCTTGCTCAGTGTGTTGTCTTATGTAACAACTTGTGTCTCTACCCAAGTTAGGAGTGCACTGGTCTTCCTGGGAAGTGGTTTCTATAGCCTTATTTTGGAATTGACAGGGAAAACATGCTACGAGGTGCTGATATGTGCCCATCTACTTTTACATACAATTAGCCTACATTTTGCATACATACATTACATGTAGCTCTTGTTAGCTCAGCCTTTACAGGATGTGATATTATGCTCAGGTCTCACAACAACTTTTTTTTTGTCTTTGAGCCTAATAAACGTGGCACTTGTGCTCTGTTTACAGTTGTACCGCTAGCAGCACACCTGCCAGAAGTGGTGATGATAGCCCTGCTCAGTCATTTTGCCCATTACTGCAGCTATTAGGCCAGAGTAGGTAGAAATGAGCAATACATTGAAAAATAGGAAGGGCAAAAAACTGATATGGGCAACAATAAAAGGGCCTTCCTTCCTTTAAAAAAAAGAACTGTAGAGTCACCTATGGAGGCCAAGGCTCGGAAGAGACTCAATATGGAGGCCGAATGGCCGAAATATTGGGAAATAATTGAAAAGGTTGGAGAAACCTGGAGGTTGCAGAGTTTGGAGAAACTAGAGGGTAAAGTGCGAGATTGGTTACATTATGCTCAGATCAAGGAGGTTTTCAATATGGATAAAAAGATAGGATTCCAGGTGGAAAAATCAAAACTAGAAACAGAATTGTTAGAACCTAAGACCAAGGTACTTTCAAGAATGTATAACTTGCTGTTGAAATGGAATACACAAGATGAAACAGTTAAATCAGCTATGATAAAATGGGCACAGGATATTGGATATAACATCGTGTTTGCTGACTGGGAAAGGTTATGGACCACCGGTGTGAAGTTTACGGCATGTAATGCTTTGAAAGAAAATATTATGAAAATGATATACAGGTGGTACATGACCCCAGTCAAGCTTGCAAAAATATACCATTTGCATGACAATAAGTGTTGGAAGTGTAAGGAGACTGAAGGAACTTTTTTCCACCTCTGGTGGACATGCCCGAGAGTGAAGGCATTCTGGGAAATGATCTATAATGAGTTAAAAAAGATATTTAAGTATACTTTCCCCAAGAAACCAGAGGCCTTCCTTCTGGGCATTGTCGACCAGAAGGTGCTAAAAAAAGACAGAACCTTTTTTATGTATGCAACAACAGCAGCAAGAATACTGATTGCAAAACATTGGAAGACACAAGATCTGCCCACACTGGAAGAATGGCAAACGCAACTGATGGACTACATGGAGCTTGCTGAGATGACCGGCAGAATTCGAGACCTGGGCAAAGAAGAGGAGGAAGAGGACTGGAAGAAGTTTAAAGACTACCTACAAAAATTTTATAAATTGTATGAATGTTAAGAAAGTGCATGAATGAAAGGATTACGGCATCAGCTGCCTAGATGAGAAATGTATGAAAAATAAGTTGAAATATAAAGACGAGATTTGATGTAAAGCTATGCCCAAACTCAGTAGTTAAATATTTGATGGAAACATTTTAAATCTGAAATATAACATATTAGAATTAGAATATGAGATTTGAAAGAAGGTAATAAATTGCTGAACATATTTTTTAATGGAGAACGCAGGAAAGGGAAATGTGAGGAAGTCCAGTTGGTTATGGAAAAAGTATATGAAAAATTGGGATTTTTTCTTTTTGCTTCTTTTTCTTTCTATAGAGATGTAAGTCATGACCTCTGTGTTTGATATATGCTTGATTATTTTTATTTTTTTTCTTCTTAAAATGCAATAAAATATTTTAAAAAAAAATAGAAAAAGAACTGTAGAAAGGGACAGTAACGCTGTGTGGAGAATAGGGCAACTTAAACAGGGCCATGTACACACCAAGGAAAACATTACTCTGAAACCAACAGCTAAGCTACTGGGGGATTCAGAAGAAAAGCTATGTGACAGAAAACTGTCCAAGGGCAAAAAAGGCAGTCAAACTGCAGGCAGAGTAACAGAGCTGAGCATGAGACACAGGCCAAGTGTGTGACCCAATTCCTCGTAAGTGAAGGCAGGAATGAACCCAGGCTTCAAAAGTGCAAGCAGGAGCTGTTGGTCTTACCTGAAATGCATTTCTGAGATATGTTTCAATGGACTCAGGTGGGCTTAGCTCCCCCTAGTGCTCAAAGACAGGAATGCAGACACCACGCAAGAAAAGTTTCAACTCTCATTTCCTTGAAGGTACCTCAAGTTATTGGATAAGTAGCAAAGAAATGCAGGCCACACAAAAAACAGAACAATTATATGCAATGCAGACAACAAATAGCTGAACATCTGAATGCAGCAAGGAACCACTAGCCTATGCACATGAAACAAAGTGTAGGATTACAAAACAAGGTGACAAAACTAATTATGAGTTATGAAAATCCATTTTCTTAAAAGAGGTTTGTCAGACAACTACACAGTTGATATCGTTCATTTTTATTGGTTCAGAGGCTGTGATTACAAAGTTTTGCTTTGAAAATTGCAGCTATTTCAGTACTGTATTCTGAATGCAGGTAAAATGAGCAAATACTCAGCATCTAGACAATATATAGAAGGTCTTCAATTATGAATCAAACATTTAAATGCAACATTTTGAATCAGAAGGAGTGACAAAAAAGAGATCCATGGTTTAGGGTTGGAATTCCCAAACAGCCTTTTTGTTAAATTACAGGGCATTTTCAGCAATCAACTTACAAGCATCTTGTCAGTACAAATCCCTCTTAATATTTGATTATCAGTAAAGGCAGCCTATTATTCATCTAAATAACCCAAAACTATGGCCAAGGGCTTGCATCCCTTGACAAGAGTTGCTTTTCTGCAGCAATTTGGTGTTTATTTGCCAAGAGGGGGGAGAGGAAAATGGTGCATTCCTGCTTCATGAGGAGCTTTCTCCGCGGTTGAGTAGAGCAAAGTCATTGTTTTATGTTTTGTACCCAGACATTTAATTTGGAAATGTGGGAAGACGGTTCCTGATGTAATTTAAAATAGTTAATACACAACCTTAATTTTAAAAGCTTTGGTATTCACATGAATTTATTTGTGGCTAATTAAGAACAGTGAGGCTATACCGATATAAAATAAGTGTGGTTATTTATTTATTTTTTAATAATCTAAAGCTAATTCCTTACAACAACTGAACAAGCTAGTTTATTTGCTCACTTTGAAGGAAACTATTATGGACTTTGTATGCAAATTTTAAGGAAACCTACTCACAGGTGGTTTGCAAATGCTAGAATGTAGTATGAGAAAATAAACTAAATTCAGAGCTGATCTTTCTTTTTCACAAGCAGGAAGATGAGGACTGTTACAGGGTCAGCCTGTACAAACCAACAGGTTTGTCTGCTTTCTCTTGCACAAGCATGTCTAGGCATCTTTCAAACATGGTTCTTTGGATTCAGTATTCCAAATTTTAGTTTATCTTTGAAGCCAAATATTAGCCAATAATTATTTTTGAAGGGCAGATAACTAACTTGCTTTTGAAAGCACTGAATACTAAAAAAAACAACAAGGTGCTTATGAGTCTACACCTTGAATTTTAAGGCTGTTCTACTGCTCTCATCTAGAAATTTAAAAAACCTCTCTTAGAACCAGTACCAAGCTTTTAATTTGCTGAACAGTACTGCCCACTCTTAACCAGCCTCCTGAATTCACAAGCGCCACAACATTTGGATCCACAGAAGCTAGAAACAGAAACAGATATTTACTTCCTCCTTAAATATATATATTCATGTGTTAAGGGGATGAACATTTGTTAGGCAAATTTTGAAGGCTGCTAACTTTCTGTTTTGCTGCAATGCAACGAAGGTATTCATTGCTTATGTCTATGAACCAGATTACTACTGCCAATACAATAGAAACAATTGAATAAAATAGCAGAATTTCTAACTGCATCGTCGCTTAAAAGTATTTCAGAGGAAGTGTTTATTGTATGTAACATACGATACTCTATAAACTGATGACGACTCCACACGCCTTTATCATCATGATTCTGTATGATGTGAATCACATATTCTTGCTAATTTAAGTGGTTCTGTTTCGGCCAGGAAGCTCAGGATAATCTTCAGGTAACAAAACATGACGACGACAGGTTGGGCATGTGCTGTGCTCCTTAATCCATGGACCAATACACTGTATGAAAAAAAGCAAGAATTCAGAAACCTTTCATTTAAAAAGTAGGGCTATGGGGGTTGGGCAACATTTTTTTAAATGACATTCTTCTACAGTTCTGAGCACTCTAGATTCATCCTATGAAAGGAAGACAAGTGGTAGCACCTTAAGCGTAACTTTGAAACATTATGGTGCATATAAAAAAGACCTGACTTCAGTTAAATCCAAACTTCTGCAACTAGGCTTTGAATTCAAACATTTTCTAATAATCACTAGTGAACGACCTATGCTAAAAGGCTGACAATTTAATTAGAAGGGCTGTCAACTAATTAAAGAATTCAATACTGATCATTGGCTTTTCGGCAGATTACATCAATGTATGACATTTACACATTAGTCTTTCTGTAAATGTTGGAAGCAGAAGGCAACTAGGAATTCTAATGAAAGCTCCCACTTATTGTCAGACAATATTAAAGACGGCTCTATTAAGTTTTCTACTAAAGGTACACACCAAAGCCCACCAACTGCAACAGCAAATAAAAAATTTGGAACATGCAATTTCAACTAAAATATTTACCTTCTCTAATGCTGATATTTAAGAATGTTGCAATCAAACCACTCAAAGTGCTTGCAAATCAGCATAGCAATTGCTATTAATACTAGTAATAATGTTACTAGGAGTTGTAGACAGTCTTAATGTACTGACTAGGCAACCTGGGCAATTCTTAATTTCTAAAGCATTTTGTCCTAAGCCATATTGTGGCGCTTCGTGGACATGTTCACGTGATTGTAACTGACTGTGTGTTGAGATACAGATACATAAAGTAGCAAAAAGTTACATGAGTGGCCCATTTCAGTCCCCTTAAAGTATGGTGTTTTGAAC